GAAATTGGGAGAAAGAGGAATTGAATGTGTATTTCTGGGCTATGCTGAAAATAGCAAAGCATATAGATTCATGGTTATTGAATCTAATGACTCATATCCTATTAATACCGTGATTGAATCACGAGATGTAATTTTTCAAGAAAGTAGATTTACCTCAATTCAAAATCGCAAAGACAATGTTCATTATGATGTTCAAAGTCTAGAAAGTAATGTATCAAATAATGATATGTTGGGACGTTCAGAACCTAGAAGAAGTAAAAGAATACGAAAAGTAAAAAACTATGGATCAGGCTTCTTCATGTTTCTTGTAGAAGGAAATAATAATTCCATAAATCGTTATGGACCAATTTGCTATAACCTAGAGAATGATCCAGAAACATTTGAAGAGGCAATAAAATCTCAAGATTCGGCCTTTTGGAAAGAAGCCATCCAAGAGGAAATGGACTCAATTATGGGTAATAAAACCTGGAAACTAGTAGATCTTCCACCAGGATCTAAACCAATAGGTTGTAAATGGATCTTTAAAAGGAAAATGAAAGTTGATGGTACCATTGAAAAATTCAAAGCTAGACTTATCGCTAAAGGATTTACACAAAAAGAAGGAATTGATTATTTTGATACTTATGCACCTGTTGCAAGAATTGCATCAATTAGAGTGCTTTTAGCACTCGCCTCCATCTATAAATTTGTCATTCATCAAATGGATGTCAAAACTGTTTTCCTAAATGGAGAATTAGATGAAGAGGTGTATATAAAACAACCCGAAGGATTTGTTATCAAAGGCCAAGAACATAAAGTGTGTAAATTAACTAAGTCTTTATATGGGTTAAAACAAGCGCCCAAACAATGGCATCAAAAATTTGATCAAGTTATGTTGGCCAATGGATACAAAATAAATGAATCTGACAAATGTATTTATAGTAAATTTAACAATGAAAAAGGGGTTATGATTTGTTTATATGTGGATGATATGTTAATCTTTGATACTGAATTAAAAGAGGTAGAAAAGACTAAAGCTTTCTTATCCAAAAATTTTGATATGAAAGACTTAGGTGAACCAGATGTGATTTTAGGAATTAAAATCATAAGAGATGGTGAACATATTGGTTTATCCCAGTCTCACTATATCGAAAAGGTGCTTAAGAAATTTGATCATTTCGATTACAAATCCGTTTCTACTGCATTTGATCAAAATGTTAATTTGCAACCACATAAAGGGTGTCCAGTGGCACAACTTGAATATTCAAAGGTTATCGGATGCTTGATGTATGCTATGACCTGTACTAGACCTGATATAGCTTATGTTGTTGGTAGATTAATTCGGTATACAAGTAATCCAAGTATAGACCATTGGCATGCTATTAATAGAGTATTAAAATACTTGAAAGTACATTATTAGAGTGATTGAAGTACTTAACAATAGAGACACCTCAAGGGGCAAAAAGTACTTAGACCATAAAAGGTGAAGTGATAGGATGAGATTATTCTCTTAATAGATATATAGCACATATTTGCTGAAATGTTTATTATGGGAGCATTTCCGATATAGTCTACCTATATGAGAATGAAGTGGGCCGCTTCATAGAGTTCAAGGGCTTGACTCTTAAATTCTCGTGAAAAGGATACATGACATAGGGCCTTATCAAATGTGTCATTTTTACAATTCTTTTGATAGTATCGAGATTTCATGTGTAAGTGTTGCACACTTGTTCTAATGACTAGTTGATTCAAAGCTTGTCTACTAATGTCTGTTCGGGATGAGTGAAACCCATAGCTTACTAAGTATTGGTTCAAATCGTAAGATACCAATATCTGAAACCATGATATTTCCAGAATTATGAGATTTAGTTATTTTGAAAATGGTGGGGGATTGTAAGAGAATTTCCAAAATAATATTAAATTAAATGATTGTATTATTTGAATTAATAATATAAATATTATATTCAGATATATATATTATTTAAATTAAATGATTGTTGGTATAATGTGCCGTGTCAATTGGTTACCTATTAATTAGCAACAATTGCAATTTATAAGCAAACCATTGCTATTTCTATGCAAAAACGCTGTTACTGATACGTTGTTATCAAAAGGTGCAATTCCTTTTCATGGAGAAGCATCTGTTCCCAAACAGATTGTAGTCTCACTATAAATTGAATGTTTATTGGCACAATGAAGAATATCAAGAATAATCAGTCTCAAATCATTTTCTCATACTAAATCATCTTTCTCTTCTCTAATGCATGAGAGCAAGAAAAAGAATTATTCTTCTGTAAAATACTATTAAAGATACGCTTAGAGAGATTGTGCAATTCTCTTTAAGGATTCCAAAATATCCTACAGGAAATTTGCCAGTAAACCCTTTTGCATCCAACATAGAAAGATTGGTGGGGGCGAATTGTTCCTTAAGCTTAGTGTGGAAACATACGCTTTGGAATTTTCTCAAGCAAATTTATTTCTCTATTTTTCATCTTCATTCATTCTCACTTTTGCAGCAGCCCCATAAAGATATATCTATAACACATGCTCGTCCATGGCTACTCACTCGTACTCATAGAACAAACCAAATGCTAAGCTATATGCCACCCTTACGCACACATTTTCAACCACCTATCTTCACTATAATAAATGAAAGAAAAAGTATGAGGATAATTCATTAACTAAAATATAAAGTTTATATCCAAAGTTTTATTGAATTGCTTAAGACAAGAGTTAGTTGTGTTACTGTAATGTACATTTTTTCATACGACTTTGTCGCGAGGTGTCAGCTCAATGATAAGAGTATAACATGCAAAGTCTCAAGTATTGCAGTTTAAATTTTCTCGAGACAGTTGTGAAATGAGTACTGATAATAATGTCACTTAAAGGAGACAACTATTAAAAGCTTTTAGGAGAGTTATAAGCATATGTAACTACTCAACACGTTCTCATTTAATGGCTATGCCTAACTTAAGTAACTTCCACCATCCTTCTTCAATACGGCGCTATTTTCGGTTTCATATATAAACAGAAGAAAGTTTTAGGTCTGCAAAAGCAGAAAAATGGTGAAAATGAGTATCAAAGAAACACTTGTAGTACTCTTTGCATCTTTCTTGTTCCTATCTTGTGTCTATGCACAAGATACTATTGTACCAGCTATCATCACATTTGGTGATTCTGCGGTCGATGTAGGGAATAATGACTACCTTCCTACTCTTTTTAAGGCTAACTATCCTCCTTATGGGAGAGATTTTGTTAACAAACAGGCTACTGGAAGGTTCTGCAATGGTAAATTAGCTACTGATATAACAGGTAAGTTTTGCATCAAATTTGGATTATGTATAGTTTTAGATTTAGTTGTGTGCTTTGTGTTTTCTAGGGGTAAATTCTGCTGAAATAGTTTCTGACTAATGTTTTTCCGACTGTTTCATGCTCGTCGGAAATGCTATGTTTCCGAGGGCTTTAACCAGCTCTTTTTTGTACCAATGAAGTCTCAATGTTGGATTAAACTAACGGTCAATAGATCGATACTTGCACCTGTTAGATTAATCTAATGATTGAGATTTATTTGAAAGGGGTAGAGAAGCTCAATCATACTTTCCGAATTAGTCTTTCCTAGGGACGGACGGATAATGAATTTCTAGAAAAAATAATCTAAAGGCTCAGATTTGGTTTGAGGGGTTTGAGATTATTTATGTCGAAAACTTGGGTAGGAGTGTTGCACATATACTCATGCATTTAAGTTTCATTGATGTTTGAGTGTTTTTTCTTGCAGCTGAAACACTTGGTTTTAAGAGTCCTGCACCTGCATATCTCAGTCCACAGGCATCAGGGAAGAACCTCCTTACTGGAGTAAACTTTGCTTCAGCTGCATCAGGTTATGATGAAAAGGCTGCTGCGTTGAATGTGAGTTTGTGATTTTACGTAAACTCGTCAAGCATTCATAGATTCGACTAGTAAGAGTCTAGAGTTTATATGTTTGAACTTATTTTTGTTTGGATTAAAGATGCTTTATTTTGAGCTTGTCTTTCTTTTCTTCCTATTGGCAGCATGCACTTCCATTGTCGCAACAGTTAAGTTATTTCAAGGAATATCAAGGCAAGTTGGCACAGGTTGCTGGCAGTAAAAAAGCTGCATCAATCATCAAGGGTTCATTGTACTTATTGAGTGCTGGAAGCAGTGACTTTGTACAAAATTATTATGTCAATCCTTGGATCAACAAAGCAATCACTGTGGATCAGTATTCATCTTACCTACTAGACTCATTCAACACCTTCATTAAGGTACTTTATCATATAAGTGCTTATCACTCGGAATTTGAACTTCGATTTTCCGGTTAATAGACCTTAATAGTGGTTCTCTGTTGGCACACAGGGCTTGCATGGATTGGGAGCGAGGAAAATTGGGGTGACTTCACTTCCACCATTGGGGTGCCTACCAGCTGCAAGGACTTTATTCGGTCAACATGAGAATGGTTGTGTCTCAAGAATCAACGCCGATGCACAGGGATTTAACAAGAAAATCAACTCAGCTGCATCAAACCTTCAAAAGCAACTTCCAGGTCTTAAGGTTGTGATTTTCGATATTTATAAGCCTCTCTACGACCTCGTTCAAAACCCTTCAAATTTCGGTACGCAACACTTTTCACCAAAACACATTCAACATATAGGATAGATCCGTAATATAACGAATTAATGATGTTCTTTAAATTTCTTTAACCATTCTTATGATGTTCTATATAGGTTTTGCTGAGGCAGGGAGAGGTTGCTGCGGTACAGGAACGGTAGAGTTAACATCGTTATTGTGCAATCAACATTCAATAGGAACTTGTTCTAATGCAACTCAGTATGTGTTTTGGGACAGTGTTCATCCTTCAGAAGCTGCTAATCAAGTTCTCGCTGATTCTTTACTCGTACAAGGCATATCTCTCATCACATAAGGAACGACTCGTGACACGATTGTTTATCTGTGCTAAATATTATTGTGTACAAGTACAACTACACATTATTATTAAGGTCTTTCAAAAGTTTCCTGTTTTTCAGGATTATGCTACAAGAATCTCTATTCTATGTATCTTATATGTCGCAAATTTCAGACAGTTGTTTGTAAAACATATTATAATACACAAGTTTCTGCTTATTATTTATAAACGCATTGTAATATCTTTCGTTATTGAACGACAAATACCTCTTGGACTGCACAGCCGATTTCTCTTCTCCCTCGCGCAATATTTGTCCCAAATTGTGGAAAACCATGTACCTGCCACGTCAGTAACATAACAGAATGTGTGAAAACAGGTAACTGTGTTTGCGTAATGTAACTTAAACGACCTACGTGGGACAAAAATAAACCACGAATTTATCGAATACAATTAAATAACTTAAGGACCGCGTGATCAAGGTTGTCAGAACCGAGAGTTTACTTTGAATCGAAAGAGGATAGTAAGATCGAAAAATCGTAAATCGCAACCAAAATCGGTGGATTCTACTCAAATCGTTTTGTTGAATCGAAAGGGGAAATCAAGATCGCATAATCGAAAATTGCAACCAAAATCGATGGATTCAACTCATAATAAAACAACCATGTCTCAAATCTTAAATATAAAACAAAATAATTAAAGCCTAGATGCTAAAATTATCCAAAAAAAATAGTCCAAAATTGGTGGAATCCATATGAGATCGCGGATTTTGCTGCGACCTACCGATTTTGTGCGATTTTATTGGGATTTTGCTCTGAATTAAGATTCTACTCACGATTCAGATCGTTAACGGTGAGCAAAATCGCAAAATCCATGGATTTCACAATTCTAATCGCGATTCTGACAACAATGCGCGTGATGCATTTACATCCGATTAAGTATTAAAAAGCTCCAAACCGAATTTTATTTATGAATGCTTACAACTCATTTTAATACATCCTTATTTATTACACGCTGATATATGATATATCAGAATTGCTTACTGCATACATTGAACAATGAGTTTTGTAATACTTAATATCCGATTAAGTATTACAACTCATTGTTCTTTGTTTCTAGATATTAAGTTAAAATGAACTATACGATGCCGATCTTCTATGTATATCAGACTCACTCCTAAGACCGTCGGCTCCAATATTAAGTGGAGAAGTGTTAAGGCTACATCCTAGAGATCTTGTAGTTTAAGTTTTTTCCGACAATAGTTGTAAGATAATAATGTCACTTAAAGGAGACAACTACCATAAGTTTTGTAGGACTGTTATAAGCATATGTAGCTACTCAGCACATTCTCATTTAATGGCTATGCCTAACTTGAGTAACTTCCACCATTTTTCTTCAATACGGTGTCATTTTCAGTTTCCATATATAAACAGAAGAAACTATTGAGTCTCCAAAAGCAGAAAAGATGATGAACATGAATATCAAAGAAACATTTGTTTTACTCTTTTCATCTTTCTTATTCCTAACTTGTGGCTATGCACAAGATACTATTGTACCAGCTATCATCACATTTGGTGACTCTGCAGTGGATGTAGGGAATAATAACTACCTTCCTACTCCTTTTAAGGCTAACTACCCTCCTTATGGGAAAGATTTTGTTAATAAACAGGCTACTGGAAGGTTTTGCAACGGCAAATTAGTTACTGATATTACAGGTAAATGTTGCATCAAACTTTGATTATGTGTAGTTTTAGGTTTTGTTTTGTCCTTTATGTTTTCTCCAGCCAACGTTTTTCGACTGTTCCATGCTCGTCGAAAATGCTATGTTTCCGAGAGATTTAGTCATTTCAAGCCCTTAGAAATCAGCTTGTTTTTGTACCGTCCCTCTCAACCAATGAAATCTCAATGTTGGATTAAACTAGCGGTCAATAGATCGATACTTGTCCGTTAGATTAATCTAATGATTGAGATTTATTTGAAGGGATGGAGAAATCCAAACTCAATCCTGCAGAAGTTTATTGTAGATTTGCTTAGATTAAACTATTGATTCTAAACTGTCGGATTAATCTAAAGGCTGAGACCTAAGAGGGAAGGCTTGAGACTTAAGAATGTGTTCCTCTCAAAGTCTCAGATTTGAATCCCGCTAGTGCTAATTCTCACGCATTTAATTTTCATTGATGTTTGAGTGTTTTTCTTTTTCTTTTGCAGCTGAAACACTTGGTTTTAAGAGTTCTGCACCTGCATATCTCAGTCCACAGGCATCAGGGAAGAACCTCCTTACTGGAGCAAGCTTTGCTTCAGCTGGATCTGGTTATGATGAAAAGGCTGCTAAATCGAATGTAAGTTCGCGATTTCATGTCGACTCGTCAAGGATTCATAAATTCGACTCGTAAGAGTCTAGATTCTATCGTTTTAACTCTTTGATTCATAATGAAGTATCAAATATTTTTAACTCTTTTCCTCCTATTGGCAGCATGCACTTCCATTGTCCCAACAGTTAAGTTATTTCAAGGAATATCAAGGCAAGTTGGCAAAGGTTGCTGGCAGTAAAAAAGCTGCATCAATTATCAAGGGTTCATTGTACATATTGAGTGCTGGAAGCAGTGATTTCGAACTAAATTATTATGTTAATCCTTGGATCAACAAAGCAATCACCGTTGATCAGTATTCATCTTACCTACTAGCCTCATTCAACACCTTCATTAAGGTATTTGTTATTGCTTCATAAATCTGATCAATAATTAATTTAATCAGGATTCGAACTCGGGTTTACCTGTGAATAGACCCTAATAGTTGTTCTTTATTAACGTGCAGGGTTTGTATGGATTAGGAGCTAGGAAAATTGGAGTGAATTCACTTCCACCATTGGGGTGCCTACCAGCTACAAGGACTTTATTTGGTCACCATGAGAAGGGTTGTGTCACAAGAATCAACACTGATGCACAAGGATTTAACAAGAAAATCAACTCAACTGCATCAAATCTTCAAAAGCAACTTCCTGGTCTTAAGATTGTGGTTTTCGATATTTACAAGCCTCTCTACGACCTCGTTCAAAACCCCTCAAATTTCGGTACGCAACACTTTTCACTAGAACACATTCAAGATACAGGATTTTTCTTAAGTGCAGTAACTGTATCAGAGTTTTCAATCTTCAACTGTCTGATCAAAAACTGCGTGGTTTTTCCACCGAAGGGAATCCGGATCCATAATATAATGATTTCTTTACAAAAATTAACCGTTCTTATGATTTTCTATATAGGTTTCGCTGAGGCAGGGAGAGGTTGTTGCGGTACAGGAACGGTAGAGTTAACACCATCAGTATTGTGCAATTCGAAATCAACAGGAACTTGTTCTAATGCAACTAAGTATGTGTTTTGGGATAGTGTTCATCCTTCAGAAGCTGCTAATCAAGTTCTAGCTGACTCTTTACTTCTACAAGGCATATCTCTCATCACATAAGGACTCATAACATGATTGTCTATCTAAGTTAAATGTTATTATGTACAAGAAGTACAACATCACATTATTATTCAAGTCATTCAAAAGTTTCCTATCTTTCAGGATTACTTATGCTACAAGAATAGTTGTTCTTATGTATCTTATATGTTGCGAATTTCAGATTATTGTTTGTAAACCATATTATAATACAGATGTTTCTGCTTATTATTTATAAATGCATTGTAATATCATTCGTATATTGAGCGACAAATACCTTGGGGACTCCACAGCCGATTTCTCATCTCCGTCGCGCAGTATTTGCCCCAAATTTTGGTAAACCACGTACCTGCCACGTCAGTAACATAACAGAATGTGTGAAAAAAGGTAACTGTGTTCACTTAATGTAACTTAAGAACCACGTGATGCGTTTTGCATCCGATGAGTATTACAAAACTCGGAACTGAATTATATTGATGAATGTTTACAACTGATTTCAATACATCGATCCTTATTTATTACACACTGCTATACCGTATATCAGAATTGCCTAAAGGTAGTATACTCATTGTTCTATGTTGCTAGATAGTAAGTTAAAATGAACTATACGATGCTGATCGTCTACGTATTTCAAGTTTCGGAGTTTCGCTAGTACTAGAATCTTTTAAAGCTTCAGCATATTTGAACAAGTCACTGGTAATTTTGAAATCTCCTGAACAACTTTTCCTTGGACAGAAACTCTTTGAGCGTTCAGCAGATGAATTTCTCCTAGTCTCTTCCTTCATACTCAACGTTCGTTCTAAATCCATAGAATTTTGAGATGTGTCGTTAAGAGATTCGTACTCACTCCTAAGACCATCGGCTCCAATATCATGTGGAGAAATGTTAAGGCTACATCCTATAGATTTAGATTTTTCTAAAGACGTACGTCTACTACCGAGATTACTGCTACTATCCTTTCCTCTCATTAGCTTCATAAGTTTTCCAAAGATCTTCGACTTGTTTGTGGCGTTGCTGACTCGTGCATTGGATGAAGTATCGTGAGGAAAATACTCTTCACACTCGCCGTAAGAAGCTTGTGAAGAGGACCATTGATCAGAATCCAAATCAGAAATGCTACTTCTTCCTTCAGCATTTGCATATTCAAGTATAAGCTGTTTAGCTTTCTTCTCAGAAGCTGGACTTAAGGTTTTACTTAAGTCCCTTGCAACTGTTTTACCAGATGGGGGTTGATAGTTTCGCATTTCATGTCTTAAGCAAGCATTTAGCCACCTTAAATAAACTAATTCTTCGACATCTGTGCATCTATCCGCTTTTAGTTGCACAAGTTCTTTCGTCAATTCCCCGTTCTCTCGCCTCAGACGGTCGTTTTCTTCCCTTAGAGCATCTGCCTGCATCCAGAGAAAGAAGATGTAACTGAGTTTGATTAGAATCAGTTTTACAAAAGCAGTTCAATAAAAATCACTTTTTGTCACCGTAAAACCAAACACAAACTTACTTCAGGATCTTCAAGAACAGAATTCGCAAGGATCTGAGTAGCTTCCAATCTTCTAGCTAAGTCAGAATTTTCCTTCTGTAATCTCAAACTAGATTTCCTACATTGTTCCACGTCAGCCTCAAGACCATTTAGCTTTTCCAGCCTCATTTGAATTTCTTGATCATTCGCAACAGCTTTAGATTCAAGCTCCTGCAACTTGGTAACCTTTTGTTTAAGATTTACGATATGTTCCTTATTCTGTTCAGCTTCATTCCTAATTTTCTTCTTCAAAAACTTCACTTTTGTTTTCGAAGCCTCGAGTTCAGCGAGCAGTTTTAACTGACCTGCAACCTGTACCTCTAATCTCTTATTCTCGGACTGTAACGTCTCGACCTTTAGATTGAACATTTTCGACTCCATGTTGCTTATTTTCAATCGGTTTTGAAGCTCCATTACAGCTGTTTCTTGCTCCCTTAGACCGCAGTAATCAAGAAGTTGAACCTCAAGAGTTCTTTCCCTCTCTTGAAGCATTATGATCTTGTTCCTCAGTTTTCTGATTTCTTGCTCATAAGCATCTTTCTCGAGACTCGAATATGTAACAGAAGAATCGTTGATTTCGGGGACGAGAAACTCATCTTTATCTCCATTATGTTTAGTTCTTGGAGACACACCGGTTGAAGAACTTCTACATACAACCTTGTTGATGCATTTTTCTTCCTGTTAAATAACAAATCCAATAAATCTATAAGTTGTTTTCAGCTTATAAAAACAGCTTATGACATGTATATAAGCTGTTTTCAGCTTATTTCCTTAAGCCCTTCAAGATAGCTTATACGAAAACAATCATAAAGAACTTACCGCGTCAAAATTGCTTCCTTCTGAATGAATGTTGCAAGAACTCGACGAAGCTCTAATACCTCCTAAACTAACTTCACTCCCATGACCTAAGAAAAACATCATGCATACAAAATATCACAAACGATTCATTCAAAATTGGCTCAATCGAGCTTATCTAGCACCATAAACAATTACGAGACTCTTCAAAAGAGCTTATGAAAACACCTCATGATACATTCATAAGTTGTTTTCAGCTTATTTTCATAAACTTCCACAATTACTTACAAAAAGAAACAAACCTGAAGAGCGGTGATCTTTGGGGGAAGACTTGATCCTTCTAGCTCTATAATTCGAATAGAGAAAACCGGCAAAGGTAAGAGCGAAAGCCAAACCACATTTGAGTAGAATAGGCTTCATAGTTTTATCTTCTCTCACAAAAATCAAACTAAAAAACTTTCTAAATATACTTTTCTCCATTATTACACTCTGATATCGCAATCAAAACCTTTTCATTATCATCTTCTTCCTTCATCTCTACAACAAAACACAAGACCAATTCCTGGTCCATACCTATATAAACACATCACAACAAATTAAATCCGTAAATTTCATCATAAACCATTAAACCTACATACATACATACATGCACCGTGTTATATCAAATCATACAAAACCAGATAAATCAGATATTATCTGCACGCAACGCTACAAGACTACGAAGAATCTAGCAAAATCATATTATGCATAATCAAAAAATGATAAACAAGTAAAATACCTTAAAATCAAACTCAGATTAACATATGCAAAAATTGAAGCAAATTAACATAATCACTCTATTTCATGATTTCATGATGATGAAGATAGAAAAAGAATAATATCTTAAAAAAAATATATGAAACTTTTATATATATAGGATCATGGACATGATCAAATGTTTATTGTACCTTAATTTCAAAGAACTGAAAAGAACCATTGTGTTATGATGTTGTTTTTTGGCAACGGTTTCAATTAGCCTTTATGAATGTCGCTTTCATTGAACAAATTGAACAATTGTTTAAACGCAACTTTAAGAGATTAAAAAAAGTAATTATGTGGTTAGCAACAAATTAACATCGGTTAATTATATTTTGTGTTAGGTAAATGGTTTGATTAGGATGTTGAAAATGGATCATGTTAAAAGGAAAACATAACAAAGGTGAAATTAGGAAGGAAAATAACAAAAAAGGGGAAATTAGAAAAAGTAATAACAAGAAAGAAGATTTTTAGTTTGTGCAAATAATTTTAAAATTGGATATAACATGCAAAATCTTATTTATCTATCTTAGGTGTTAATTCAAAATAAATAGTATATGTTGGGTGTTTAAATATGGAGCTAAATTAAGTTGGTACTTTTTTTTAATTAAAACAATGATTTAATTATTTTTGGATAATATCCATACAATTGTTTTTAGAATCATTTTGCACTTAACCTTATTCTTATCATGAAGATCTTGTTGGGCTAGTCTTCAATTGGTTTCTCTATCTATATGATGAATAAACCTGATTTTGAAGTCTATTAGGATTTTTTGAATTTTCACTATTAAATTTTTTATATAGTTTCTATATTTTCTTTTTGAGCTGTTTCCTTTTTCTTTAAAATTATCGTCATTACTTTCTTATTGTATGTCTTCACATCTATCTCTTTTGCGCTCATCTTACTCGCGAGTTCAATGACGTTAAGGATTGTTTGAGCTTCTACTGCAATTCTTAAGTTGGTGTTATTGACTTCTTGCATGTTAGATTGGAATTATGTTGATGGTCTTTGTCATTCAATGGTTGAATAGCTTCATACATGTTAACGTTTTCGTAATCCTTAAGTTTATTGGCTTCCTTCAAGTTTTTGTTTTGATGACGATTTTCATATATCATCAAAGTTTCTATCTGGTCGGTTTTATCTTCTTTCATCTTCGTATTGTTGTTTTTTTTTCCCTTTTTCATGTGCTTGTTTTTGTTTCTATGATTAAGTAGGTTCTGATTATCCTCTACGATGGATCCTTGTGAGATTGCTGATATGGATCTTCATTAGTAAAAATATTCTACTCGGGATCTTCATCGTCTGTACTTTTAACATCTGCATGTCTCCTCATTTCTTCCTTATGTCCACATTTTAAAATTATTGTTCCAATCATCTCTTGTATTATTTATATTGAAACTATTGATGTTTTTTCAAATGTCATTCATTTTGTTGATTTAATCTATTTGTATGTTGGTTTTAATATGGTTATCTTCTTTTTCTTGAGGATTATGAGTTACATTATCCTTTATGTGAATGAAACTATTACTATTATCTTTTCTGTTATTGATGATCTATGGATGATTATGTGTACATTTTTATCATGATGTTTATGTTCCTTGTGATGTGTCGATATTGATATGGTTATCAGTATTCTCCATGTAGTACTTATTCTTAATTCCATAATTATCATGGCATATGTTTGGGTGTTGGCCCAGTGATGTTAGGATGTTGGTCTAGTGATGATTTTTAGGACGTTAGTCCAGTAATGAACTCAATCTCATGGTATGAATTGAGTGCATTTAATGAAGTGCTCTGGTTCCAAGCGGGAATCGATCTTATGGTGGGGCTCTTTGGAGAAAGATGACTTGGTCATCAGTGAAATTTTGATACCACATGCATGATTCAATGATGTTACATTGCATTATATGTGACATTGCATAATGATTGAGTAAGTGATGTTTTGATTATGTGTGACTTAATGATGCCTTGATGATGATTATTGATTTGATGGTATGAGGATGATGTTTATGATGATATGAAAGTGTGAGTATGATAGGTGAAGCATGATGATATGTGGTAATACATTGTATGATGATATTGTTTGAACTACTATGTATATTCTGTATATCTTTTATAATGAATGTGATTACTCACCCTTTCTGTTTGAATGTTGCCTCCACGTGTGTAACGCACATATGATCAAGATTAGTTCATAGAAGCATAGAGGATAGCTTTGGAGTGTGTTGATTATTTTTTGTTGATTTAGTAGGTCTTGCTCTGATATGTAATATCGGGGTTAGGAATGTTTGAAGTGAAACTTTGTTCCTTTCATTGAATGATTTATAAGTTGTTTATGTTGTTTTAGATGTTTTAAAACCCCTACTCATGAAAGATGAGATTTAATGATGTTTTGAAGGATATTATTTCATGAAGTTGTTTGAGACTATGAATTCTGCTGCGCAATTAAATGAGTAATATGTTGATACTCCGAGAGGAAATGTTTATAATCATTGAGAGTCCGTGTTACGGAGCAAGATATGTATGCATGATGTTTTATGAAGCATGTAACACTTTTTTGGTGCATTACTATGATTTATTAATTATAATATTTGTGGAGTTTTAGAAGGGTGTTACATATTATACCACTCAAGCCTTGCTCTAAGTGACTAAACATGCCTTGTACCACGCATACACACATTTGGTTCTTTTGGCCAAAAATAGAAAAATGGCATCTTTTATAAACTTGCTTGCTAAGTATAATCCTTTGCCAGCTCACTCTTGCTACTCAACACCACCTTGTTCCCACACTTTATGCCAAGCAACCACTCACACAAAAGTTGTAATCTGAGCTCTCATTCTCCTTTACTCTTCAAGTTGTTTTCCAACTCTAACAAACTTCTAATTGTTCGTAACGAACTATTAACCATAGTTTCATTTTTAACCCTGATCAAGCTCTCATATAAAAGCTTCCGAGTTCCCTAAAGTCAAGGGGTTATAACATTCACCATATTTTTAGATCTAAAGCTCCATTTTTCTCTTCACATTCATAGATCGAATATCTTAATTCTCTCAAGATTCCTCTATTCCCCTGCTTCAATATTCACCCTTTCCATGTGTTGTACCCCCAAAATTTTCCATCTAATTTCTCAAATAATCTTTCACAAGATCTCCTTGGATTCAAGACTGCACAGGGTTTGATCAGCTCAAGACATCTCCTCTAGCACTGATGACTGAAAATTAGGGTTTGAGTTTGCACAGGGATAATTGGACTTTTAATGCCCCATATTACTTTCATGGATCATTTTGGACCCTCAAGATTGCTCATGTCAAGTTTCAAGTCTTGGATCACATTTTTGCTCATTTAATTGATCACTTGACCTAAATATCAGTTGTATTGGGGGAAAAGTCAATTGTGGTCAATTTACAGTTAAACTTCGTGATTTTTTTTATCCATATCAACATTATGAACTCATATATGTCATTTGATCAAGTTTGGATCACAATTCCTCAAGAAATTTGATCATATCATCAAAAGGGCAAAATGGTCAAAATTAGGGTTTTGACTGAGAAGAGGCAATTTCTGACTTTTGACCTAGCAAATGGCTTATTGGTTTAAGATATGTTCTCAAAGATTCAAATACTTCATTTTTACCTAATGACATGGTTCAAAACATTGCTCAAGATCAATTGATGGACAGATGAATTTCAGTCAACTTATGAAAAGTCAATTGTACACTGAAAAGTCGAATATTGACTTTTTGGTCAAAATCAAGTGTCAAAGATCACAATTCATCAAAACATGTCAAAATATGAAACTTCTTCATCAAGAAATCAAAAAGTCAAGATTTCATTTTGAAAAGTAAAAAATTCTAAACTTAGATATTTTTCTAAGTGTTGAAAATTTCATATTTTTTCATAACTTTGAGCCAAATTTCCACCATGATGCAAGATGATTCAAAGGAAACTTCCAACATGAAAGTTGTAGATCTCAATGATGTATAAAAAATTGTAGAATACAACTTCTTCTATAAATGCATGGATTTCAAGTTATGATTTTAAGAATACATGTTCATGAAACTTGAAAACTTAGTGAAATTTTGCCCTAGTTTAGGCAGGATTTTGACCTAACTTCATGGAAATTTTTCACATAGTTCCAAGATGAATTTTCAAAAATTTCCAACATAGAGGTTGTAGAGGGTGTTACAAGCTTTCCAAAATGTCCAATAACTCATTTAGATAATGCTTGAGCAAGGAGAATCGAAGGCAAGAAGTTAGGGTTTTCAAACTTGAATTACAAGCCATTTCTTGATGAAAACATGAACCAAATCCATGCTAGGCTGCATAATCTTTGCTTTGCAGGCATCAAACTTGTTTGTAACTCCATAATTAATGTTTTTCACAGCTGCTAGAAGCTTTAATCCAAGCATTCAATGCATTGCCCATGCTTAATACCATTTTAGGAAGAAAGGCAACATTGCCATTTTAGAAAAGTGGTTTTATGAACAAAGTCCACTCTTCTTGAGCCTCTAACTTGTTTGTTCAGCACACACTCAACATACAAAGTCAGATAAACATGTTTAAAGTTTGTAACCACTCTAGACTGCCTTGTACTATACATTGGGACAATGTGTATCAAGCTTGCTTCAAAAACAAGAAAAAGAGCCATAACATGTGAACTTGTACTTCTAATCAGCAAAAGCTC